CAAAGGAATCAGAGTAAGAGAAAGTGAAAGATGATAAGAGCAATTAATGGAAGAAGGAGAGGAGAGCCATTCATATCCAAAGTCTTCAATATAATTTTGCGTTCCTGTGGTCTCCTCAAGGCCCCACTTGTTTAGTTGTTTTCATTCTCTATAATTCAGCTACACTGTAAAGTATAAAGCTTGAACTACATTACTCCATATAATGTAAGAAAAATAATCAATTAAAATTAACATGAATGATAGAGACCCTCATCATTCAAGTAATTGATGAGGGATGTCACTTGTTGATATATACATATCCTTGCTTGCGTCTGGGTACTATACATGTGTATGTTATTGTTTAATCGACTCATTACAAAATAAAATAAAAATGATATCATTAGATAGGGAAATAGTAATACATATATCCATGTAGTGTAGGACACTAAAATCAAAATAAAATCTTCATGCGGCACAGGCCATAATGTGTGTTGTCCTTGATATTGCTTTTAATAAAGTAACACTATTTGCTGGACTCGTCTTTTTGGCCATGATGCTTTTCAGTCATCGTGCAATGAGATATCCAATGCATTGCTATTTTGTTATTTTGAAGAAAAAGACACAATGGTAGGAAATATTTATTATGTTAAAGTCTTATGATTAAATTAACTTCTTATTTTCTTTTGACCAAAAAAATTAACTTCCTAATTGCCCATCATTCTGTCAAATCTCATAATTATTTTCCTCTGAAAATTTTAAACATCAAACCCAACATTTTATCTTTATCCGAACACATGAATTTTTTTTTTTGATTGCATATATGTATTATCTCATTTAAGACACAGTTAGGCATTAAATATGGATACTTCTCTCAATGGGTACTTGAAAAATCTCATATTTTTTATTTATTCATCTTAATATGTGCCCATCCACTTGTGCATGTTCAATTGGTGGCTAGTGCAGAGTAGAGTTTAACACTTCAATTATCGACTTACTCAACAGTGATTTGTGACAAATAATTTATTATACCTTCTTTTTTTAATATATATATATATATATATAAAGAGGATAGGAAAGAAATGCACCTTTTGGTCTTGCAGATAACTCAACTGGTCAAGTCATCCATATGATAACATGGCAAAGAAAAATAATAACTTATGCATAAGGTATTGATACGTCAAAATTTATTAAGTGGAAGAGCAAATGACAAATTAATGTGGTTATACTATGTAAAATGACAACTGGTCATAACAAATTGGCAACTATAGTATAAAATAATAGAAGATAACTTCATAAATGTTTACTTGTCAATATTCTATGTGTAAGTTGTCAATTTTTTTTTTGGCCATATTTTCATTATCCATTACCTTCTCAATTTAAACAGCATATAACTTCATATATTTTACTATATGTGTATATTGTCAGTTCTCTTTGTCGTGTTGTCATTACTTGTTGCCTTATCAACTTAAACGGCAAATAAATTCATAAATTCTTACCTATCCATACCTTATGTGTAAGCTGTCCTTTTCCTTAATTTGTCATGTTATCATTTCTGGTTACCTTGTTGTCAATTTAAATAGCATATAATATCCTATGCGTAAGTCATCATTTGCCTTTGTCATATTGTCATTACTCACTGCCTTGTCAGTTTAAATGCCATAACACATCTTAAATTTTTACTTATCAACACCCTATTTGTAAGTTGTCATTCTCCATATTATAATCACCTATCGTAAAGTTGTTAATAGTAGATTCGTTATTTTCAGTTTAAAATAAAATTCTTCCACCTGATAAGTTTTTACTTATCAATAAGGCATAAGAAAGTTGTTAACAACAAGTGTCACCTTGTCAATTTTTGATAAACTTGTTAATATCACATTCCAACAATCTCGTTCTGGTGATGATGAAGTCGGTGTGGCTCAATGTGAAAAGATTTGCTGTAAATTGGTAGGAGAAGTGATATTTGTTCTTGAATTTCTTCCCATAAATGTTAGAATCTATTGGGCAATTTAGTAATTGTCTGTCTAACATTATTTATAGCCAAGGATCTCATGACTTCGTACAGTTATTTATACATTTTGTGAGAATTTTCAGTATTTAGAAAACTTCTAAGTGACTCTATAGTAATTATGCTATAATTCTATCCCCATTTTAGAAGTTTTTTTTTTTAATATGAAAGTTGGAAGAGGATATTCCCTCATGTTAAATCGTGAAAACGCCCCTAAAAAAATTACTTATTTTTGGAATTGTAAAAAAAGTAAAATTAGTTATTTTAAATCCGGCTATTTTTGGAATTCAGAAAAAAAAAACAAATACAAGGAGCACTAAACACTGTCCAAAATGAAAGAAAAACACTGATAGTGAAAGCCTTCCCTTAAAGCTTTGAATTATCCGTCATTGACCGTGGTGATTTGTCAAAATCTCATAATTATCTTCATCTTAAAATTTTTTCATCAGAAAAAAAAAAACGTGCCCATCCATTGATGTTCAGTTGGTGGCCGGTGGATAGCATTGAGTATAGCACTTCAAATCATTCTAATTATTGTGTGTAAAAATCCCTACAAATAATTTCTTATCATTTTTTTCTAAATAAATAAAGACTGCAGTTAAGTCATCCATAGCCATATGCGTTCTGGCAAAAGAGAGGGGGGGGGGGGGGAAGGTCCTTCAATAATTGAAGGAAATGGGATGAAATTCCAATTTTGTCCAATCACCATATCTGCGTTCTTTGTCTTGAATGTGGGATCTCCTGGATCTCTTTTCGTTTTCTCATATTCCACTATTGTTTTACCTGATTATTTTATATTGTTTATATTGACCGTTTGTCAATTTCTCTCTGGATGTGGTTTTTGATTTATGATAGCTTAGTTTGGATCTCAGTTTATTGATTGTGTTTATTGGCTTTCAATTTGTGCTTAGACTTAGAGGTTATCACGATGGCTTATGCTTAGTTGTTTTCCAAGTAAGGCTTTTTTCTCCTTTCTTTCATAGGCGTAGATGATGTCGTTGACGGTAGTGGATTTATTTATTTTAATTTTGTTTTCCAAATTGACAAATTTACCCCCTTGTCATTTCATGCCAAACCTGCGGGTGTTTGGCATTTTTCCCATTCCATACATTTTCTGCCCCTTCACATCACAATATAGTTTTTTTCAAAAATTAATTTTCTGATCTTTATAGTTCTAGGTAATTTTTAATTAAATTTCTGTGATTATTTTTTTAATTAAATTATATTCTACAAGTTAGTTATGATAATATCCGTTCATGAAGGATGAGGGCAGATTACATGATGCCGTTTATATGCATTAAGGTGGCTGACAAGTCCATAATTTAAGACACGTGCACGTGGGAATTACGAAAGTATATATAATTTAGATGGAACTGCATATATAACAATTTGGAAACAAAATAATCACAATTCAAACAACACATAAGAGTTTAAATTCAAGGAACAGAATCAAAACAAGCAGAGTGATAAAAAGAAATTAAAGGTCTAAATTTCATATAGCATGACGAAAATCTCTGATCAAAGAATGAGAAATTGGAAGTTCATTGTGGCATCAATAATCTTCTCTTTTCAATGGAGGACAAATGGATAATAGCAGCAGAAACACTATATCTTAACTTAAAATTTTGCTGAGACTCAATATATATAGTACTTAGATGGGATTGCATGTAAGAAACAAGTAGAGTAATAAGAAATGAAGGGTCTAAATTTCAGATAAAGGTGGTAGAAGAATACTACATCTTAATTCAAAATCTTACCAATAATCAAATTTATGAGTTATTTCTCTTTATTTTATATTAAGCTCAATGTTATGATCTGATGTCAGATTTTCCACATCAACTTAAATATGCTTACACTTTGACAATCTAATCGAAGCTTCTTTCAAGAATGGTGATCTTCTCCTTTCTCATATGTTTCCCGCAAAATCCCTAACTTTGCCTTCAGGCCCCACCTTCACAAAGCTCTTCTGATATTCTGGTCAAAGAGTCACCCTCAACTTATCATCTACCAGGTAAAAATGGCAAAAACTAGAAGGATGCAGTAAAAAAAAAAAATGATAAGGGGCTGATTAGAAAATTTGCTGAAGATGTAAGTATCTGGGATAGTTTTCCCTATTCTTTTTAGCAGACGGTCCTTAAGAAGAATTGTTTATTAGTTGATATTCCAATTTTGTTTCCAGATTTATTATTATTTATTTAATTACAAGTCGCTTAATATATGATTAATCCCAATCGTAATTAATTGCTTTTTCTCGTACTTTTTTTTTTTCTAAGGAAGAGATCACAAAAGGGATGATGAGGAAGATCCCCTTTAGAGAGTTGGAGAGAAACAAAAAACAATAACGTTTCAAGATCCTCCATTCTGTATAATAAAATTGGAAAGCATAGCATCTATATCCTCATATCTATTTGGTTTTTTATTTAAATTAATTACAAGTCAATCTACATATCAATATATATTAAAACAATGCCTAGTTTCCAAGTGTCCTTAATTAGATCGAGCCTTGTGTATATAAAATAAAGAGAATATGCCATTCTATTTACATATACTATACAAAATTATATGACTTACCATAAATTCACACACACACACACACACACACACATCTTTTGTAGCAGCGGAGTTGACGCGGCTAATAATGGTCAATAGAATTACCATCCAGTGGCCACTCATTGTGATTTCGTCCCGTTCGGTTGTCTTTTTCTATTTTTATATCCATAAATTATTCACTTCCTCAGTTTTTATGTCTGTATGAATTCATATAATTATTGTCCCAAATAACTAATAAAGCATAGACTAACATGTATATTTTAAATATCAAGAATTCTTCTTTTAATGAGAACAACAAACCATACAAAAATAAAGTACACACGATATTAAAATCCAATAGCTGCTAAATTCTAAATTGTAAAAATCATGAAATACACACACAATATTGAAATCCAAGTTAGATGGAGTGTGAGAGAGTATTCTCATGAAAATGTATACTTAAACAGTACATACGTCTCTTAAATGTTGTATAGTTTGCGATTAACAAATAATAATGCTCCCATGAAAATTAAAAAAGTACGACATTGATGGGGGAAAGGCAATGAACAATTTATAAAATGAAGTACACATACAATACTGAAATTCAAGCTGCTAAATTCCAAAATGTCTATTTTTAGCAGCGATTATTTCCCAACATTTATGCCACTGTGACAGAATGTCTTGGTGTGCCTTCAAAAGATGAGCATGACGAGCTATAACATCTGCTTGCTTGTGTTGAGCTGCATCTAACTCCTTTTGAGCAACTTCAACCTCTTGTGCAATCTCCACCTCCTCCTCACAAATGGCTTCAAGCATTGATTCATTGATCTTCATATCATCTTCTAAACCCTTTAGATCTTCTTGGATGCGATCAAATTGAGATATATTACAATCCAAAACCCTAGTTTTCACAGACTCAAGCCAGTTCTTGTCAAAACCCACAAAATGAGCATCCTTTAAATTGTCTGCCAACAACATCTTGTCTGCCTCAGTGATTGTGAATGGGGTCTTGGTTGTCAGAATGTTCAAGATATTAAGAAGTACCCTATAGGAATTACACAACATCCATTTGCTTCGATCATTTGTAGGAAGACGTAGTTGTGGGTGAATCTTGAATGCCTCTGCTAGTAAGGAAGGCTTAAGACCCTCTAGTTTCATCATATCAACTATCTCTTGCGCCCCAAGAACTGCCGAAGCTTGATTTGGCTCAGCAAAAGAAGGTGCCATATTTGCTGGAGGAAAAGATCGAAATGCTGATAATTGTGCATCACCAACAAGTTCTGACATTGTCACACCGTGATTTTTAATAATTTGGCCTGATAGAATCATCACATTATTAGCAGATGAGACTAATAAAACCAAATATGCAGAATGAAGAGTAGTTAAAAGTGAATCACCTTTAGAATATGATGACTCTTGTTCTGGTTTTGTCAGGTTACATGAAGGAGTTAATGAAGGGGTTCTCTTGAGACTTGTTGGAGCTTTTGATGACATAGGACTCAATGGCAAGATGGACTTGGATGTTTTCTCACCTAAAATAATTGGTGCAGGCAGCATAGTAAGGCTCACCAATAATAAAATTTATAAAAATATATTTAGCAAATAAAAGGTTGAAGGAATTCATTTAAAGAAAGCAATACGTACCATGAATGGAAGTCTTGTGCTCTTTTCCCAACGAAGAACTCACTGCTTGCATGCCACGTCGGTGTCTTGTAGTTGTGATCAAGCCACCTATAAAACCTGAAATAAGTAATCAAAGGAGATATAATCTTTCAAGTAAATTAAGACAGCTAGATCTTACCTTCCTCTTCCTCTTCCTCTTCTCCTTCAGAAATTTTGGAAGTTGCACTAATAGTTCTATCTCCAGTAGGATGGACAGTGAGGTTGGGACTTGCAGTAATTGATGCCTCCTTGTATGATAAAGTACGCATCTCATTATTATCATAATGACAAATCTGTTAAATGGTTTAAGTGGTTGCAAGAATCTCACCTTTTTAGAAGGTAAGGAGGCTGGGTGTAAGGTCTCTAGTGAAGCACCTTCTTCTACTGTTTCTTCAACAATCTACACACCACCAAATTAAATTTGTTTAAATTTTATTTTTTATAAGAAATTAAACCATTATAAATTAAATTTTATTTTCTTTGTATTCTTCTTTATTTACCTAACCAAAAATATGCATAATTAAAAAGTTTAGTCCTTTGTGATTCATTAATAAAAGAGAATGTGTCATGTAGTCATAATTGGTTTTTTCAAGTGTCTCGTCAAATCTAATGTTTTTTATAAAAATAAATGATGTCTTAGACGATAAGTATAGAACAGAGATAAAAGATACTTGTGTAATGAAGAATGGAAGCATCTAATACAAGTTTGTAGAAAAAGAGAAAACATGTACATCCTATCTTCTCGTAAAATAACTTTGAACGAGAGAGAAGACAATTATGTACTAGAGAATGATAGCATCTAATACAAGTTTTTCCATATAATCATATTTGAGAAGAAACAGTTATATAATGTCATTTGAAAACTATGATATTTATATGTATGTATGTATGTTGATTGCTAGTAGCATTCTATTATTGATACTATATCCCAAAGATGATAACTAATATACAGCGTACGAAGTACACTCTCACACTAGAGTATGATCAAATAAAATGAGGTATATATACCTTTGATATGTTTTGTATCCTATTTGTGGGTTGTTGTGGATGCTCCATAATTTTTTCGTTCTGCACTTCTTTACCAACCAACTCATCCCAACATAAAGATAATTGAAAGCGTAAGTATTATATTTTTCAAAGAAAAATACAAAACAAAGACAGAAAATAATCATGTGGTAGAGTGACAATTGCCTTTTGCCTGTGACCACATGATATGTATTTTTTCTTTTTGGTGGTCCAACCAACGTCACAATAAAAGTAAAAGTAATTATAGAGAGATCATATTAGTACATACATACCAATTGATCTATGGCTTTTGAAGCAGATGATAAAGTCACTTTTGGGTTCTCAGAAATATCATCCTCTTCAACAATTTCCTTTGTAGTTTCCTTAGTGTGTAAACCAACAATACATCGTAAAAGATTTCTTCACGTGGAATTCATTAATCTTTTTTTTTGGCATTATTTTTGGATTAAAATATAAGGTGTCTTAGTTTAAAATTAAAATTTGAAATTGTGAATTAGTTGAGAAGTTATTGTTGAGATCATAAGAGAGAATATTCTGAAATAAAGGAAAGTTTTTTGTTTAAGAAAAAAGATGCTTTGTAATATATATTTTTACATGCACTTGTTGGACAATGTACAATTTAAAAAAAAAATAGAGATAAACTTGTCATTCTTAATTTTTCATTTTTACTTTGTCGTTCAAAATCTCTTGATGATATAATATAGGTTGAAATAGAATTTAGTCATGTCAAGTTCAGTAGTTTTGATTTGAAACAGCTTTGAGAGTGGTGTGTTATATGAGGGAGACATCTCTAGATCACTGATGAATGTGGTGCTTTTTAATTTCTACATAAAAAGAATGAATTTATTTACATTAATAGCACTTTTTTCTTTTATATTGTCTTGTTTGAAGGAAATTTCATTCTACTTTATTTTTGGTTCCAACCATCATCCCAATATATGTAAAAGATTTTGAATTATAAAGAGATCAAATTAGCATAAACATACCGGTTGATCTATGGCTTTTGAATCAGACCACGAATTCATCATTTTTGGCATCATGGCAATAGCATCCTCTTCAACAATTTCCCTTCTTGTTTCCTTATTGCCCAAAGCCAAAAAAAAAAAGAAGAAGTTTGGTCATGTGGAATTCATTAATAAAATAAAAGGTTATACATGTACTCTTGTTGGTTTCTTTTATAAAAACCTCATCAAATTCAACTTTCTTTGTTTCCATTATTTGGTTAAAATAAATAACGCATGTCTCCCGAGATAATATTTGAAACAGAGAAAGAAGATAATTGTATACGTGAGAATGACAACATCTAATACATGCTTGTGGATGTAATCATGTTTGCGATATAGTACTGGAATATCATTAGAAACAATGTCCCCAAGATTTTATTGCCACACCAAGGAAAGAGTCAGAATATGCCATTCTCTTTTCTTATTCCCGTATCAATATACTAGATACATTACATGCTTGTATAATATTTAGGCAGTAAAAAAAAAAAAAACGTTGAATTTGATGAGGTTGTTGTGGATCCATCATAAGTTTTTCCTTTGGCATTTCTTTGCTAACCAACTCATCCTACATAAAGATGGTTGACGCATCATGCATAATTTATAGCCATCGGGCATAAAACCTGTAATATATTTAAAAGAAAAACAATTTTACTTTTGGAGATATTTTACATGTGAATTAGTTATCTCAAAGTCATTTGAGCACTTGTTTCTTTATGATTTTAGATGAAAAATAAATAAGAGCAATCAATAGTTGGTCCCTCCTTGTCTAATGCTGGGTATAAAATGAACTATACAAGTTGTCTTATGAATTTTGAATCAGATGATGAAGTTGTCGGCCTCAAATATTTCTTATTGATAACATAAGTTTATTTTTAGTCATGATATATTCAATAATTTTGATTTTAAGAAGGGCTTTGACTGGTTATAAAAGTCATTATGTTATTTCAACGTTCAACAGGCAAGTGCAAAACCGAGAAAATAATTATGTGCTAGAGAGTGAAAATTGCCTTATGTGTGTTTGTGTGTGACCGTGGGATATGTATTGTATGAGCGTGGGATGACTTTGTATCCAATAATATAGCTTTTTTATATTGTCTTGTTTAAAGGAAATTTCTTCCTTTTTTTGTGCTCCAACAAACATCCGTCTCAATGGAGAAGGAATTATAAAGAGATCAAATGAGAAATACATACCAGTTGATCAATGGCTTTTGAATCAGATGATAAATTTGTCACTTTTGGCATCTCAGGAACAACATCTTCTTCCGCAATTTCGTTTGTTGTTTCCTTAGTGCCCAAACCAACATTCGTTATAAAAGTTTTAATCATGTGGAATTCATAAATAAAATTACTTTTGTTGATTTCTTTTATAAATATCTCATCAAATTCAATATTTTTGCTTCCATTATTTGGATTAAAATAAATCATGTCTAAGAAGATAATTTTAAAACAGAAAAATTAGATAATTTTGTACTTGAGAATGACAGCATGTAATTAATACATGCTTGTTTGTAGATGTAATCATGTTTGTGAAATAGTATTATAGTATCATTAGCAACAATATTTTCTACCAAAGTTTAGCTTATATAAAATATATATATCTATTCGCAAAGTAACCTTAAAATATAAAGAATATACATGAGTTGTTAATGGCATTCTATAGCTAAGACAATGTCACAAACATGATTATGTCCATGATGTGGTGAAATAAGATATACCATTGTGAAGTTTGGTGGACCAATTCGGGATTGGTGGGTTTTTAAACTTGGGCTCCCTTTGGTATCTCCCATGTCTGACTGATTTGTGTTTGGATGTGAAGAAGCCTTCTCCCCTGTTTTTGCCTCAACATTGGAATCAAGATTCTTTGGGCCATCTTGATGCTGAGTAGCGATGGTTTCTGCAAGTAGGATTTTCTGATGTCATGTTAACATGATCACATAATAATAGTTTTCACTTTGAATGTTTGAACGCATACCATGAAAAGAAAATTTGGGACAACCATACAATTTTGAGCAATTTTCTAATGTTTGAAAATCAATCCCATGGCAGATGTTGATGAGGCTTGTATTTATTCCTAGTTCTACATATCGTAGCTCTGGAAGCACATCCTTCTTTGCCATTTCTTTTGGCTGAAATGGTCTGATCAGCACATGCTCAAGAGCGTAGGCATCTTCTATACATACTTCTTGTAGTTTTGGAAGGATACCAGACCTTGTGATAGAGAACAAATACTTCAACCTGTGACAACCTACAACACGCAGCTCAATTAACTTTGGGAAGCATGGTTGATGAGGCAAATGATCTCCAGCACTTTCCTCATTATCCTCTTCAGTGATCTTAACTAATTCTTCACATTCCCATATCCATAATTTCTCCAACTGTGGTAGGCTTCTCAATGTAGAGGTAGAGAAGACAACTTCAAGCTTTTTGCATCCTCTAATTTGTAACTCAGAGAGATTCTTGAGGCTTAGAATACATTTGGGGCCCACACATATATTCCTCAACTCCCATAGATTTATCAACACCAATTCTTGTAAACTTGATGTTAATGGTTCAAGTCTTTTTTTATTTTTCTTTGCATCCAGATTTTTCAAGTTGAAAATCTCTTCTATTTTGGAATTTGCTAATGTAAGCTCTTTCAAAGCATGCAAGCGCATCTCAATTAACTGCAAAATACAAATAAAGAATAATATCGATATCATATTCCAATTTAACATTATAGAACATAGGGGAGGAAGAATGAATCAAACTAAAGTAAATAAAATTTTTCATAGTCAATTGATAACAAATAAAAATTAGAGAAAAAATATTGATAATAAGATCCAGTAACAATTATTGAATTAGATCAACCTATAATTATAACAAAACACTCCTTATTCTTAACAAAATCTGAAAAATCTAATGGGCCAGTCATTAACATTGAAAACACATACTCTCTCCAAACCACAATATAAGTTATTAGTAATTAGTTTACATTTCTAAAAAAGTTTGTTTAAATCTTTATTTTTTAAAAGTTTTTACATATTTTTAATCATACCTTTGAGCAGAATTAAATATAACATTTAACTTATTTAGAATATCAACTGAACATCATAGAACATAGGAGAGGAAGAGAATATTTAATTAAAGTAAATGAAACTATTCTTATTCCATTGATAAAATATAAAAATTAGAGATAAAAGCATTTGATATTAAGATCTAGTAATAATTATTGAATTAGATCAAACATATACTAGCATAACATTATACTCCTTATCCTTGATAGAATATGGAAAAGCTAATTAACCAAAACATTAATATTGAAACACAAAAATGCATTATTGAGTGAATTGAGAATATAATTCAATCACTCTGTTTTATAGAAAAAGAAAAAGGCACTAGCAATGAATGGGGAAGATGACTGTGTGATGCTCAACTTTTTAACATTTAATATGTTATAAACTTGTAGGTAATTGTAATCAAATTTAACCTACCATTAACATTGATATGTGTGAACATGTGAAGTGATTGCAGCCCTAGCATTATTAAACATGAAAAACAGAGGCAATTGTCCTTCTGCATTTTAACATCATAGAAAATAGGGGATCGGAGGAAGAAAGAATCAAATTAAATTGAAGTATATAAAATTATTCTTACTCAATTAATAAAAAATAAAAATGAGAGAAAAGTGCATTTGTTAATTAAGATATGGTGGTATAGAAACTCAAAAAGAGCAACTGATAACAATTAAAATCTATCAAATAGGAAGAAACTACTCTGTTATTGCTTGACCATCCTTGAACAACTTTTGAAACCTATTTATACTGATTGTATAAGGACATTTTCATCCAAAATATTTGACAAACATTTAACATAGGTTAAAGGAGTTACATATATTACTAACATTAATCATGGCCATTAACAAGGAGTTGCAAAGACTTGCTTATTAATGGATTAGTAACAGTAGGAGAGTATTGATGTTCAGATCATGATTCCATTTCATATGGTAACAATTATTGAAATAGATCAACCTGGTAGCATAACAATATGCTCCTTATCCTTAGCCAAATATGGAAAAGTTAATTAACCAAACATTAACACTGAAACACGTAAGTGTGTTAAGAAATGAGAATTTAACAAGACTCTATTTGTGGGAAAATGGGGATTAGCTAGGACTCAATGAATCAGAAAGAGGAGTATATGTCATTCGCACCTTTCAACATTAATATGCTAATAAATTTGTGGGCAATTGTTATTAAACTCAACTTACCATTAACGTTCACATATGTGAAGGAGTGAAGTGATTAAAAATTCAACCTTGCTAAGCATTATTAAACATGCAAAACAGAGGCAATTGTCCTTCACCATTTTTTAATTCAATATTGATTAATATAAATAAATATTATATTTTTCATTTTTAATTTGTAATGCCTATGTGTGTGAAATCATGACTCAAAAATTATCAAATAACATCTCCTAGGATTGTTCAAAATAATTACTAATAAGACTAGGGAAGAAGTTAAAACAGAGTTGTACCTTTATGGTTGTGGAGTCTTGTGTTGCATGATCACAAACCATAAAATCATTAAAAGATTTGATGCTAGACATAGAAGAAATGTCAATATCCAGTATAATGGCCTCTAGAGATAACCCTCTCAAACAAAAGTTTTTGGGACACAGGCTGACAAGTTTTGGCACATTATGCATCCCTAGTGATTTTAGAGCAAGGAAGTCAATGCAAATTTTGATATTCTGATTCTGATGAGATAAGTTGTCATCATGAGAGCTTCTTCCCAACACATATTCCAACTTAGGAGCATCCTTGATTCTAAGACGTTCCAAATGCATGGGGGATCTAAAAGCAGATGCTGGAAATAGATATTCCACTACATTGCATTCTGACATGTCTAGTTGTTTCAACTTTGGAAAGATGGAATTGTGATTCATATGAGTTGTAGCACCTCCCTCATCTGCTACAATACATTTTAGTTGATCACATCTTTTGACAGTCAGTTCTTCCAAGGAAAGGATTGAGGCATCATGTAGAGCAAACAATGATATTAAGTTGGCACAAGTCACGAGTTCCATCTTCTTGATGTTAATCAATGATTGCATTCTGATGCTTTGAGTTGCCTGAGAAGCTCGATGAACTATATCTGTTGATAAATCTAGTCTCTACAAACACATAAATTATATGCATATTAATGCAAACAATCAATAAAATCTTCATATACGAATTAATTTAGAAAGAATATTAGTTGGAGTTCTATCTTTTCCTTTTCTTCTGTTTTTTCCCATATCGTAACATCTACCATGTATATGTATATAATTGCTTCATTAATTTGTTTTTCTATTCATCATGTCTATCAATGAAAAAGTAATATCCAAAAAAATGCAATTTTAGGAAAGAAACGCAAAATTAAGATAGGGAGAAAGCAAAAAATATAAGATATATATTTATTACTGAATGACGTAATTTTATACGTTAATTTAAATAACTGTTTGATAATGTTTCCTTTTCTTTTTTTTTTGTAACAGCTTTAAGAACAAAGTAAGTTGTTCTGTTTTAAATTTATATGTAGCATTTTATTGAATAACCAATGCCTAACATTTGTAGACAGACAATTAATCTAAAATATCCAGAGAAATGGTGTGAAGAAATGGTGGCAATAGGAAATAATAATAACTCATGTCCCAAATGCTTACCATTTTTGGTATATCATTAAAGCAAAGGAGCTCTAAAGTTGGGATTTTTTTTTTTTGGTAAAAGTCATCATTTTAGTTACATTTTGATTTGTTCGCTTTTTTGTCATATTAATATAATTTCCATATTTCTCTTTTTCTTCATCAACTTTAAAAGGTTAAAAAATAATTTTTGTCACTGTGCTATATTTTGAACAATCCAGAATAAATTAGACACATGAATATTTTGACTTAATTTTATGGCATTGAAAAAAAAAATAGCTCTTGTAAGTATAGTCTTCTTGTAACTTTATTAGGAAAAAAAAAAGTTTAAAATGTCAGATTATATCACCTAAACTATCATAACAAATAAAACGAGACATATATCAAGTAAATTAAAGACAAAAATTGAGATTTTGAAAAGAAAAGAAAAAGTGTTAATCATGTAGTATAACAAGAAAATTGGGAAAGATAATAGAGATCTAAGATTTCTCTTAGTTAACCAAAGAGAGTTATTTATGATAGATAAAGCAAAACAAATAACAGTAAGTTAGAAAGAGTGTTACCTTTGTGATTTCCCAATTCAAGCATTCTTCACTCGAACAAAATATCAAATCAATAAAAGATATGATGCCACAATTGTCCAAAGAAACAGTATAAAGAGATGGCGATACTAAGAAATAATAATTCTTCACACAAATGCTTATCATATTTGGTACACCTTGAAAGCAAAGAAACTCCAAAGCAGGGAGATCAAAGTGCAGATCATTTTGTGGATTTGGATTTGCTGAAAGATCCTTGTGATGGTATTTCCTAACAATCTGTGTTAGTTTAGGAGCATCTCTGATCGTCCAAGACCTTAAATTTTTAATTTCTAATGATATTGTGGATGGAAACAAAAATTCCATGTCATTACACTTCCTGATTTCTAGCTTCTTCAAGTTTGGAAAAATGGAACTACACTTCTTTTGATCTTTATAATCATCTTCATCGCTGGTTACCAAGTGCTTCAATCCATCACATTTTCCAATTGTCAATTCTTCCCACAATATAATTGATGCCATAGATAACGTGAACAGTGTTGATTTTGAATTTAAAAAGAAATCTACAAGTTCCATCTTCTTGATATGACCAACATGGAGTAGCTGTCTCTTAATGGTAGCAGCAGTTTCAATCCATTTCTCTGATGCAAGTAATCCCTACAAACAAGCATTGTTATTCAACACCTGAACAACTTAAATTAATTTTTAAAGTAATGCATGGAGATATGAAATCTAGGAAAATAGCACTTTATCCAATTAGCAAATATATATGCCAACTTTTTTTTAGTTAGATATATATATATATATAGCATGTTAATTATATTTATATATATATATATATATTTGATTATACGCAATTGATTTTATAGTTCTAGATACACAAGGCACAAGCACTCAGATATATACATGTGTGGGTGTTTTTAGTCTTACCATTTTACCAAATTTTTTTTAACAAGATGCACTTGGAAAATCTTATTACAAATAATTAACTCAATCATGCATCCAAAAATATTTCAAATTACCTTTAAATAATGGCAATTCATATAGTAGATATTTTCAACATTCAAACCTTACTTTGTTCAATTGTGAACCATTTTTTTTCTTTTGAAATAACTGGCAATTTACATTTCTATTCCTTGAACAATATATATATATATATATATATGTATGTACATATGTATATATATGAGACACTTGAATGAAAACAGTAAGGCAAGTGCAGCATACCATTGGGTTTGTGTGGTCAAGTGGTCCATGATCAGAAACAGTAAGATTAGTCTCTTCACTAGCTGGCCTTGATTTATTAAGAGAACAACATGCTTGAACCCAAGAGAGAGCACATGTGGCAAGAATTTGATGTATCTTATTGGACTTATGTCTTGAAAGTGGAGATGATGGCTTTTGCATTGATAAACTCTTGAGTTGCTCATAGTTTCTAAAAATTCCACTTAGTCTTGGTACTCCACAAAGTTCCATCTCTTTCAGTGAGGGGAGCATAGCATCTTCCCCCTCTTGAAACTTATCAAATATGTATTCCAACTACTCACTCTCACATATACTTATCTTTTCTAGAGGTGGAAGGCCACTAGCAGATATGATTGGCAACATTACTCTTAATTTGTTGCACCCTTTAATTTGAAAAGTTATTAATTTTGGGAACAATGAGTCATAACTCTTTTGATTACTGTCGCCATCTTCACCCACTATGATGTGTTCAAGCTCATTGCAATTTCTAATTGTTAATTCTTTCAATTCCTGCAAACTTTAAGCTGTGCATGGTTGGAAAATTGTTGTCAACATTGGACAATCTTCCAATTCTATAGACTTGAGATGACATAAGTTGAAGTTGCCTTTAGAAAATATGCTCCTCAATTTTTGGCACTTCTTCAACTTCATGATCTCTAATTGCTCCAAAAAGCTAGACGGTAAAGGACCCCAACATAAATCTTCAATGTCTATTCTAAAGAGATATAGTTCAACCAAAGTATAGAAAGCAGTCACACCTGAATTATGACCATTTGTATCTACAAGACACTCCATGTGAGGATATGAACTCAAATGAAGAACAATCAAATCATTCAATGTTCCCCCCTCATCTATTGCAACAAGATCAGGGACAAGATTTCTCCATATTCTTTGTTCACCCACTCCTTCCAAGATAAGAAGTTCGGCTCTTTCCACAAGTTTCTTAAATGTTGTAGCTGAGAGTAAATGACTTAGTTTGTCTATTTGAAAGCATCTTGACATGGAACCATGAATTTTAAAATAATATGAAAGATCATAAGAAGATATACAATATTTATGTAATGCAAGAGGAGATCTATTTTGAGAAATTGCATTGTTTTCTTCTTCATCACACCCATTGCCAATAAAAGTTAACTCTTCTAATTGTGAGCATCTTTCAAGCACTTTAAAAGGATTATTGTTTTCAATTTCACATCCATTTACCTCCAATGATCTCAACTTCTTTAAATTCAAAAATTCTATTGGTAATTCAATAAGAGAACAATAAAAAAACTCAAGAGTCTCAAGATTCAACAAGTTTCCTAAGATAGAGATGTCTCCTAACTCCAAATTCTTTAAGATGAGTGTTCGAATATCCTTTAATGGTTGAAGTGAATTTACCAATGACAAAGCTTGGGTTCTTTTGTAATATTTATAACCTTCCAAAATAAAAACTTTGAGCCTTCTCATCTCATTAAAGAATGTTTCTGAGACATCTAAATCTTTTGAACCCCTTAGAATGATTAATAGGAACTCCAATTTCTTTCCATCAAATTCATCAGGGAAATCATCATTCTTCCAAAGCAAATATCTCAAATTCTCTTTTATAGGATTTTTCAAATCCGTGGTTGATTGAATATCTTTGTCTCCTATCCATAAGGCCACCTCACGAACCAAATCATGCATCTTCACAAGATCTCCTTCACCTCTCAATGGCAAAGAAGAACCTATGAGTTCCCTTATAACAGCATGCACTTCCAAGATTCTTTTTGAATAATGCCTGTCATTTTCTCCAAAAGAGCTTAACCCTATACCAATCTTGCTTAAAACTTGAATAGGAATTTCTTCATCTTCTGGGAACATGGAAGATATCAAAAAGAGATCTTTGGCCTTTTCTTCTTTCAAGTGGTCATAGCTTAACTTCAAGCATTTACCAACATCTTTTAAATTTTCATCATCGACGTCAAGAATTGACTTAAAAGTCTTCAAGGTTTTCAAAGCAACCTTCCAATCATTAAGAGGCCAATTTTTTAACACTCTTGCAATTGCTACAATTGCAATTGGTACTCCTCTACATTGCTTCACAATATCTCGAACTAGACTCTTAGAAATGGTGGAATTATTAATACTAGCATTTGTATGGAAAAGCTTCAATGCATCCTCCTCATGTAGCTTCTCTAGTTGAATTGTCTTTTGGCATCCCATATTTTGACAAATGTTTAAGTTGCGTGTAGTTATTAGTACACTACAACCCTTACGCTGGAGAACAGATGGAATCCCTAACTCTTTCTTGAGATCAAACTCTTCCCACATATCATCTAGTATTATAAGTAGCTTTTCTTCCATACTAGTGATTTTGGACCATATTCTCTTCAAGAGTTCTTCCTCCTTGTCATCATTTGATTTCAAATCTAAACGTCTTACATTTCGAATGTTTTTGAAATCAGGAGTTTAGACACAACAAGAAAGATAACTTTGTCAAATTGAGATCCTTCAAGATTTTAACTAATTTTTAATGCCATTGAGGTTTTTCCTGTTCCCCCTAAGCCTTGTAATCCAACCATGTTACAATTTTCATCTTTTAATGCCTTCATTAGCTCTTGGAACTTTTACTTTCTACTCTCAAAATCAAGGAAGATTTTTGGTGAATAGTATTTTATACTTGAAACATCCACTTGACCTGCCACTATGCTTAAGTTATTACATCTTCCGAGGAGGTCTTCAATTTGTAGAGTCTTTTGTGCCAATTCCTTGCCACTCCGATATTGCCACCAACAATTAGGACATAAACCAAAAAAACACTTCTTCTTTGCTTTAATGTTATAGTCAATGAGACTATTTGCTTCACTTGCCCACTGCTGCACTTCATTCGTGACTCTTGAAGCACCTTTGGCTTTTCCAATATCTATGTTGATATCCTTGTACTTTGCAACCAACCTTTCCCTTTCTTTATCAAAATTTTCAACGTAACTGTTGAAACAACATAAATATTGAACTTCATTTTTCACTAGATTCATCAAATTTGGGACTTGATCCTTTGCAAGGTCAAGAAGGAAGCCCTCCATCTAACATAGATACAAGGAAATATGGTTATTCTATCCTACTATCTAGATTTTGGCTATGAAATTAGTGCATGATGATGATAATAATTGAATTTGAAAGCTGAATTTACAATGATTTAGAAATTTGATAGACATGCAAATAAAGAAGGTATGGTGACTAAATAGAGTAGGAATGAAAACGTATTGTTACTCATAATCATAAAAGTACAAATGTCATGCTGGATAGTTTCTATGCTAAAAACATAGCTAGTATATATGTTTTCAAGTTGGATTGGGATAGCTTCTAAGCCGGATAAAGGAGTTGCTAAAGTCACTTGGGATAGTAGGATGAGATTTATGTGGTGGTCAAGTATTTGAATTTTCTTAATGTAATCCAAAAGAAAATGAAAAATAAAATAAAAGAAATGCTTAAAACATGAAAGACCCCATCGATTGTGAGACAATGGAACCATATGGTGGGAAGTAAGAAGAGGCAATAATTATCAATTTGAATGTTTACTAAGGGCTTGTTTAGTTTCTGTTCCCCTTTTTTGTTTTTAAAAATTATTTTGTAATATAATTTTTAGAATTTTTTTCAAAACAAAGCAAAATGAAATTTTGTTTAGTTATGTTAATTTTAAAAAAATTAGAATTAAAAAATAAGCTAATAGTGATAGTTGCACATGATTAATTGTGATTGTTTATGATAGAAATTAGTCAAGCTAACTATATTTTTCAATAATAAAATGTAATGTGTTTTGAAAACAAGAAAAATAAAATAAAAATAACTTTAAGATATTTCATTTTTCTTGTCTTTGAAAACAAAAATGAAAACAATTTTGAAAACAATTAAATTCAAAACACTTATGCAAATGAGCTTTCTTTGTTTTTTTTTTAAGAAAAAAAAACAGTTTTTCAAAATAAAAACTAAACATACTCTTAGTTAGTCTTCTTGTATGGTTCAATTCAAATTGTACTCTAATCTTTTAAGCTTTATTTATCATGAAATTGGAATATATACCATCTTGACATGAAGAATGCATTAATTCCTAAATTGTGACACACAAGAGGAGGTCTTCATGCAGCAATTTTGGAAGACCATCATTGGGATTCCCTACCTACAGCCTCAAATAGCAAGCAGTCATTACAATCAATAAATTAAAGGCCCTATTGTTCTACATCAATGATATATTATTGATAAGGATAAACTCAACAGAAATTTAACAGATGGTCAACCTTTGAAGGTTGTATGTTATTAGAGCTTAACTTTGTGTCATGATTGTGAATCAAACAAGTGATCTCAAAAGTACTAAGCAATGAAATTTTGTTATAGAAACAATTTTCTATCAAAAGAAAAAAAAAATTACAACACCCTACACTACAACCAAAATGACTTTTGATGGTAATTTTTAGCGAAGATCAAAAAAGTCACCACTAAAAGTGGACTTTAGGAGGCAGCAATAGTCGCCGCCAAAGGTGGATTTACGTCACAGCCAAAATTATTTTTATAAAAAAATAATTTAAAAATTAAAAATAGTGAAAAGATTTGTCTCCAATAAAAGAATTTGTAAAAAATAAATATAATTTTAAATTATATGAAATAATTTATAAAATTATAATTTAAATTATTAAAAAATTCTTATGAATTATTGTGAAATTTAAAATCAGATAAAATCATTCAAAAGCTATTTATGAAATTAAATTTCTCATTTTATAGACAAAAATAGAAATAAATGATATATAAGATTGTGAGACAAAAAGAATAATAGTGAAGATGTGTTAAGTTTAATTATTAAATTGTGTTCTAATTTTGTATTATTCATAATCTTTTTTGTCATATATAGCTCATATTTTTTTAGAATTATGTTATTAAACTAGTATTTTAATATGATAAATTAAAATCTTTATGGGTTATTCATTTCAGTTATAATTAGGTTAATTAATATAATACATATTTATAAATAAATTATATACTTGATAATTTTCATTTAAAAATTAAAAATAAAATTTAAAAATTGGTTACAATGTTTATAAGAAAATTATTTAATATTTAAAATTTGTTTATTTTAAGTTCATTTTCCTAACAAAAATAATATTTACTAGTAAAAAATAATATAATATTAAAAATATAATATAAATATTTATATAAATTATTTTGTTACATTAATAATTGAAAATAAACTATAATATATATATATATATTAATAATATATTATTTGATTTATGTGTATGTAGTTAAATAACAAATATTTAATTTCACATATAATAACTGCAAGTGTATTTTAGTTCAACTAGTAAAGGAGGATGACTTGAGGCTTGAAAATGTAAGGTTAAGAGTTCAAACCTTATCTTTGACATATTTTGCAACAAATGTTTAAGATGGTACATGGAGGTGATATGGCACGTGATGTCACTTGAGGAGGCACACACACATTGCAGGTGACATGGTACGAGGTAGTGGGTGACTGGCATCATCTCCCAACCGTGCGGCATCATGTGATGCACGTGTAGGGCCAAGCCACCCCATTTAAACCCCATTTTTATAAGGATTTGAGCTTAAAAATTGGTCAATTTTAGGGAATTCGGTTTAGAGCTTGGCCCTAATAGGCCTTAAAAAATGGGACTAGGTCCAAGCAGTCCTCCAAGCCTAATTTCTTTTCTTTTTTTTTTCCACCCTCAATTCAAAACAGATAGCTTCACCCGAGGAAGAAAAATGAAAACCCTTGAGCTAAGATGCTCACTTGACAACACATAATGCTCCCTCTCCTCAGTCACTGAGCTCTCGCCTCTCCACTCTTGCCTTTCGATCTTTAAAGCTTAAGTCAGCTCAATCACTCTGTTGCATACTCAACAAGATACAAGATTGATATGGATCAAATTCCAGCTCAAGATATTATTTAACTCTAATTTCAATCATAAAGTCAAGTACAACGAAAATGTTCAAAGAAGATGATAGCAAAAGGGGAAATAAGTAAAGAAAGCATAGTTATAGAGTTGAAGGGAAAGGGAAGACAGAATATATATAAGGGAAATGAGAAGAATATATTAGAGAGAGAACATTACTAAAATCATCCATACCCATTGCTTCATCTTGTTTCTCTTTATAGTTAAAGATTTGCTCACACCATTCACACATTCCATCTTTCACACAATAACTTCTTCTAACAAACTTTGCCACATCATCACTTAACATTTTCACATTCCATACTGTGACATGCTCTCCTCACTCCAACCAACTCTCTTGACAACGACAAGCTTGCCAAGTCACAGAATCATGATGTCGTTGCCTCTCGTGTCTCAATCTCGCTTGCTTCTTGGTCGTTCTTCTCACTCCTCTATCTTGGCTTCAAATCATTATGCTCATTTGCTCCCCTTCATCCTCTACAGAATAAATCAACCTCTAACCCATGTTGCAAGGAAAATGTTTTAGGCTTTCAAATATGTAAGTATTTTTCCCTTGTTCATGTTAGAGGATGAGTAAGCTTTAGGATATGTTCGGATTAAGGAGAGAGGAGGGAAGGAAAGGTTTGGTCTAAGTCTAAATCTAGGATGAGTAAACTTCTCTTTTTTTGCATCCTACAAAATTCAAGCATACCTTAAACAAGACATTGTTATGTTGCAAATATGGTTCCTTCAAAGATGGTTCAATTAATGTAATGTCAAAATGTCCATTGAACTTATGTTTCCTTAAATAAAGCTTCTCATGTGACACCATGATGTGCCTTGTGTTGTTGTGATCAATAACTTCATGACTTGTGAGTTATTGATTGGATGGTTTGATTATTGAGATATGGGTACTGTATGATCATGGTAATCAAGCTTCCTAGAACAAGGGATACATAGTGGACCAGGTCTCTTGGTGAGGAGATTCTTGTGTTTTGGAGTGATAGGATTCTCCTTCATAATTAAAGAGGTTGATCTTTTCTGTAGATCATCAAAAATTGATTTATACATATCCAATTAATATCTTATGTATTTCTTATCTTCCAATTGCTTTGAGACATTTTTTGGATATTTTAATTAATTAGTAATGTTTGTTTTTTTTTCCCTAAAATGGGCTTAAGATCCTGATCCTAAGTCCTTTGAATAAAGACTTGGCCTTAAAAATATAGCATTTTTAGGAAAACTGAGCTTTTAGGCTTGGGCCCATATGAGCCAGGCCCCCCGTTTCCCAACTCTATGTACCCATGGCAGAGTGACGTGATGTAAAATAAATTATTATTTTCTAAAAAAAGTTTTGATGACAACAAAAGTATAAAAACTATTAGCAATAAAAGTTATGACAACGACCTTTCATTACTAAAAACTTTTAGCAGCAACTTTTTGACCCACAAGTCTTTTTTTTTGCAGTGCTAACTTGTGGCAGACTTTTCCTTGAATAGCAACGGATTTTTTTAATTTCTAATTTTCTATATTATTGTAGTAATATGCCAAGGCCAAATACTAGAATATGATAGTATAGGTAGCTCTGGTGGTCTCTTAAGTGAACTTAAAATTTCGCAGCCCAAGCCACCCAATATTTACAGCAATAATATCAATGCATTATTACTGTATATCATCAGCTAACTACTAATTCGCCTTAAAGGAGTGAATAGTTAGCATACTAACTATAAACATATTATATATAGATCATCAAATGATCTATAATAAAAAATATCTTTTGTCTTTCTTATTGAAGTTCAAAGCAATTAATTAACTGTCTATAACGGTCAATTTTTTCATGCATAACTGTAGAAGTTGATATTAAAAAGTACAAACTGATTAAATATATATAACAAATGATATATATATATATATATATATAAGACAAAACATGGATAAAAAATTAAAATATGTTCACACTTACCTTTTATTGCAGAGATTTCAATGTTACTTATACGAGACAAGAACACAAAATCTGTCAAAAAAGTGAGCTGACAAAATTTCAGCATTAACTAGAGTAGAATTAGTTCAGAAACGCATGAGTATAAGATTCAAAGTGACAATAATATGCATTCCATTATACAACAAAATAAATATGATATATATATATATATATATATGTTTTACCTCTTTTTCTTGAAGATCTCACTGTTGTTTCTTTTCACTTTCTTTTTTTTTCTTTTTCCGAACTTAAAAAAGAACCAAGTATTGAAGACGAAAAATAAACCAGTCTTTTACATGAGAAGACAACACTTCAAAATCTGTCAAATACAAAACACAATTTATTGTTGGTGAAAGAATAATTGATACAAAATTTTAGTGCCAAATTCAAACATTATGGTTCCCAAGGGAAGTGAGACATTGTTTTAACTATGTTGATTAAAGGCTTCTTTACATATTTGGTGAAAACTGATTTTTGGGCTAAAAATGTGTTTGGCAAGATGGTCGAATTCATGATTTTTTTTAATATTAGTATTGAAAGTTTAGTAAGAAACAATGCAAGAAAGGAAGGAAAGAAATCAAAGTGGTGATATTAATTCCTCTCATCAATATACACACACAAGTTGAGTATTCAAAAAGATAGGTGCCCTTTCAATATAATATATAAGGCTAATATTTTTAAAGAGAAACGAGAAACACACATATACATACAATAACACTTGTTTTTGAAAATAAAAAATTAAAATATCTTAGATCAAGGAGGGGCAAGATAGTTAAAATAATGTTTTATAAACCTTGACAAAGTTGGCGATAGATTTTTATTCTATGGTAGGAAACTCCTTTCTTTTTGTTTTTTTGTTTTCCTTTTCCTTTTTCTTTTTTATGTTGCGGGAAACCTTTCCTTGACTAATTTTATGAGGCTTACTTCTGTTGCATAAAAGGATATCAATTCTATGGTAACTTAAATAATGTGCGCCACACATAACCTTTGATCCAAAAGAATTATTTCTATTATTTTTTTCTTCCAACAAAAGATTTTGAATTTTTTGATAACTACATCTCATCTTATTAGAGCTAAAGAAATCAAAGTCTCATATCTAGAGAATAGAAGATAGACTAAAAATAGGGTGTGTCTGACTAAATAGTTTAAATTATTTTGGTGAAGCAAACTACCATCAAGCATACTTAATATAAAGAGTTTAACACATCTCACCCTTTTTATTTGAGCTAGTCAAACAAACTTATTCCTCTAATTTCTTGCCAACTTATTCCTCTAATAATATTATTGTGTAAATTATAAGTACAAGAAAATTTTCATAATATTACTACTTTAAAGAGTTAATTATATCTCTTATTTCTTAAATCAGATAAAACATTTTATCATGATTATTACACGCTCCAAGCTGTCATTACAGCATATGCTACATCAAGTATGCAGAAAGATAAGTGATCAAATGTCCATTTGGTAATCGGCATTGATAAAATTAAACACTATCAAAATGTGTTCTAACCTTCCTTTTTTCTTTTTTTTTTCCCTTTTGAGGGATTTTAATGCTGCTTGATGAAGAAACTTTCTTTCACACAGAAAAACAGAAACAAAGAAAACCTGTTTAACACAAAAATATAAAGGAAATCTAGCATCGATGAAAAAATTAATGCAAAATAAATTCCTGACAAATATAAAACACGAAGTAATTAAAAAATAAAACAACATTTTTGCAGATGACCAAAGCAACTATTGGTTATTTTTTAAAAAAAAAGAGCAGCCAAAAGAAGGTCTTGTTAATTTGACAGGATCTTGGGTATCATACAAATTCATTGATTTGGGTTGAGTGCTGCTTCGCATGAAAAGAAAAGGTACGTTGTTGCAAGCATTAGGTTTGAAACAAGCATTAAAATTTAATCTTATTTTAAATTATTCAAATAAAAAACAATTATAAACTTTTAAAATAATTATTATATATTTTACGTAATATTTTAATAGTCTAGATTAATATATAGCAAAAGACAAATATATAAGAATATAATGAAATGAAACATTATCAATATATTTTTACCTTTTTTTAAGAGATTTCAATGTTGTTGGACAAAGAGAGACCTCCTCTTTACTTTTTTACTTTTTTTTTTTATCTTTTTCAAATTTGGAGAAGAACAAAGTGTTGAAGCAGAAATAAAAAGATTCCTCACAGCAATAGAAAAGAACACAACATCTGCCAAACAAAAACAGACCAAAATTTAGTACACCACAAATAATCGACAAAAATTACATAAAAGTATGAGCTTTAAACTGATTATGTGCAACATTCATTACTATGCATCAAAAAATTATATTAAGGTTAGCAATCTGTGGATCTTAAGAGTAATTATGAACTTTTAACATCTCTCATGTTAGATTTTGGTATAAAATATAATCAATCTTCTCTTGTTTTACTTTTGGGCTGTTAATTTCTATAGTCCTTGAGATTACTTTTCCTTTCTTTATTTGGCCGGTTGTAATTCTAATACTATTAAAAATGGGGGAATACTTGCACTTAAAAATGGGAGAAAGTACATTAACTATATAAGCTTAGACATATTTTCTTATTAAAAATATTCTCTAAGTACTATATATATACATATGACTAATGTTATTGCCACAAAACAGTGTCAATTTATTTTTTTTTCATTTTTATAATTTTGTCCTGTGAAATTCATGTTGCCTTCATCGTTATAAAAATCTATAAATCCTTTGCTTTTATAACAATTATATTATGAATGATACTAGACTTCTGATACAATGTAATTATTGTTAACTATAGAATGATGAGGGCAGAATTAATATAGAGGGGAGAATTTATGAAAATTTGATCACCCGTATAGCTATAAAATGTTTTTCACAAAAAAAAGAAGAAGTATTCTTAATACAAAAAATTTAGAACATCGTATTTAGTTTTGACCATACGAATATACATTAATTGTCAATAAAGGTCAATATTATAATTATTGCAGGTATATTGATCGGAATTATGTAAAAGGCCAAAAGTGCAAACCTATTATATGTTAAAAGACAACTCTGATAAACATAACATGATAAAAAAAATAACAATCAAAATAAATCCTCACCTTTTTTTTTCGTAGATATTTCAATATTGTTCAACAAAGAAACCTTTTTTTTTTAATATTTGAAGAAGATCAAAATAATGAAGAGAAAATCAACAATCTTCATACTGCAGGATGACAAGAATCAGAATCTGCCAAGCAAATGACTACAAAAGTTTTAATAATTGAAGAATCATTACCAATATATAGGGAAAGAGGCAAATTATATAGCAATTTAAATGAAAGCACATGTGTGTTTAAGGCGATAATAAAATGCATTGACCATATAATATGTTTTTTTTTTCATCTTTGGAATGATATGATATATATAGTTTATACTTCTACTATGTATGTTTCGTAATATTTTGCTATGACTTATGAGTATAAGCTCAAAAGAAAAACTTATCTTAAAAGATGAGTCTTTTAGGTGAAAGTGTTTACTAAACTTATAAATAAACCGCACTTTTCTTTTGAAACTTTTTAATATAGGACTCATATCATATTATTAATCCTTAATTTTGATAAAATTACACGAAGAAGTTATAGCATAAGAAATTTACTATTCATCATGTTTCAAATTACTAAATATTGAGTTTTTCTACAACCACAAGAAGTTTTTTTTTTTCGAATGAAAAGTGATACAAAGAAATTAAAACAATTTACATTGAGATAGGATCAAGACAGTACTTCCTCTTATCATCCACCACCTTAACACAAGAAGGCGAGGGTTGATAAAAAATAGTCCAAACAGCTAAGTGGTCAGAGCATTACTAGCTAAGTAATGGGTACAAAAATGGGCCTCTCTAAGCATAAAATTAACAAAAACAAAAAAAAAGTATTTTATGATCATTAGTTCATGACAACATAAAAAAAGTTAGAACCTAGACTTCTCACAAAGTTATAGGTTCCCCATTATAAGGATATTTTTGCCCACTCATCATCAACTCAAAATCCCTTTGAGCCATGAAAATAATTAATTTGAATATTTAAAATACTGCACCATGCATATAATTTTCCCTTAAGTTTGAAATTTTTAATTGTAAGTTACCAATTTTTCTATTGAGAGGCCTTGTATCCCCAGAAGTTGTCAATTGTTATTTGTTAAGTTGATTAACTCTCCAAAAAGGTTAAATAAGCCAGTAAAATTTTGACATATATTCAAATGCTAACATAAGCGAAGCATGGAAAGCATCAACATTTTAATCAAACTTATTATTGCATAGAAAAAGCTGACAATATGCTAGTTTTTTGATATCACTGAAAATCATTCTCATACATATAAAGCAAAGAACAATACATGTACAGATGTGCATTTATATTACTATACACACCTCGATTGTAAAAATTGAAGCAGCAACAACTGAATCGAACTTGTTGACGATTGGTTAAAGCTGGAAGATCAAACTTCTTGAACTCAGAGTGATCGATGAAGGAATTGTAAAGAGAGTTATCTATTTGCTTAGCTTAATTATATGTAATGAGAGCAAGAATCTCACAGGAGTGTGTTCCACTCAAAGATGATTCATCTTTCGTCTTTATTTGGGGAAAAAGAGGTGACAGTTTTCATCAACCTCTCCTCAATGTTGTCATTGTCCATATTCTTTGCTTCTTGCTTTTTGTGTATGTGTGTGTTACTGTTTGAAATTATTTTCAGTCCATTATCAATTCCCTAATAAACTTCAAGAATTTCCTCAAATACTTTTTCCCTCGCGAAGAGCAAGAGGAAGAGGGCAAGAAAGGCATAAAGCAGTCGTGGAACTTCTTGTTCTTCAAGATATGCTTAGTATGTACATAAAGCAAGAAGCTTTGTATTAAGGACCAAAAAAAAATTAACTTCATCTTATATACAATAAACCATGATACTCCCTCCATTTTTTATTGTTAGAGAAACTATCACTTTTGATTTATATTTTTTATAAGCAAAATCATCCATTTTAATAAGTAATTATTACACATTTTTTAAATCACCTCTCTTAATTTACATTAACGATAAATAATTAATGTATACTTATGTTGATTAATATAGGGCATTTTAGTCCACTTATTTTATTTTCAGACATAATTATTATAGTTAACTAACTTTTTTAAACTGTATGATACAGTTTTTTTTCTCTTGTACTCCCTCTGTCCCTATAGATAAGGTGTTTTCTAAAAGCCT